ACAAACAGCTTAAATTTATAAAGATAAAAACAAATATAAATTATAACAACTTAAGTTACTATTCTACGCGGACGAAGTCGCTAACACAGCTAGTATTCGATATGCGTAGGTGGTTCGCGATAAAATGATAAGCGTTTTAATTTTTTTCATCTCCATCAATAGTGGCTACAAATTCGAAAGCTCTCGCTCCGATTCAAGTGCCATTATGTTGGCACTATTGTTTCTCCGCCATGTTGTTGTGGCAATTACGCCATCTGGCGGCGAGCGTGCTATGTGTCACGGAAATAAATGAAACTGTTTTTAATTATGTCTTCGCGGTTTGGGGTTAATTCTAAGCGACGTTATGAAGGAGTTAAGGAATGAGCAATTTACATAATAATGTTGTTGAGTTATTGTTAACTTTCTAAACAGGCAATTCTCGGAAGGTGAACTCGACAACGCCTAAATTTGTAACGCTAATAATCAACGCGTTCTATTTGATTTATATTTTTTCTGAAATATGTTGGACTTCGCCTGAAAATTTGGATATTACACGGGTGATTGGAATTTCGTCCGGGTCACGAACAACCGCCCGCGGTTTCAATCTAGATTTACGAATATTCGAAGCCAAAATAGGTAGACATCGCATCTTGTGTAGATGTTATGTTGGTCTGTCTTTTCTAACATAAAAATAACCATATTTCTTGTAACGTTACATCGCTTCTCTTACAAGTTAAGGATCTATTTTATGAAAATTACTTTTAGTTAATAAACTTTAAATGTAATTAGTTTTAGTTTAGCTTTTAATACCGAGGTGGACTTGGCTCATTTACCACACCGTCATAGCTCTCGTTTGTTTCGCGCACCGCTCACCCGAGGAGCTTTCGTCTAGCTCCTCAAGCTCCAACTCTCTTTACGGCGGTCCAAGCTGAGGCCCCATTTTGGGGCACTCTTGGTCTAGCCGTCCCGCCCATCGCCAAAACTGTTGGTCAGTATTAACGGTCGCGGGCCAAGATAAGTTAATAATCACTAAAAACGGCCTTAAAGTTTGAGATCCCAATTTCCAATCCCTAGAAATTACATAATAAGTACCGTAGTAGGAAACCTAATTATTTGGTTGTATTTAAATAATACACTTTTAACGGTTCGAAACGCGAAATGTAAAATGTAGAAATGTAAACTACAAACACTATTTATTCGGCAGTAGGTATCTAAAATAATATTCACTCATTGATATTTTTAAAACCAACCAATATAAATCGAAATTCAGCAGATATTGTTGACAATTTTTCTATAGTGACAAACTGGCGAAGTCAGTTTTTTTATTATGTTATAATATCTATCAAGAGGCTAGTCCTTTCATTGGTTAAATATTAAAATATAAAAAAGAATAGCAAATAAAAGCGTACGGTCTATATAACTGTCAATATGTAATGTCTTCGCATGCGGAGCTAAATAATTATTTTTGTTATAATTCAATTTGCAGGTTCATTTTACCTAAATTCATCGGACTTGTATCTACATATTTGCACGAATTTTATTCTTGTACACAAAACTATAAAAATGTGTGTAAGTCCAAAATCTAATATAGGTGATGACTAAAATAAAACACTTTAACGGTTTAAAACGCGATGTATTTTAGTTAATAAATAGTTAAATTGTTCGAAAATTATCTTTAACTACGGCCCGACGTTTCGGATGCTTTGCGGCAGCTATGGTCACGGAGAGATAGGTATATAGGTAATGATATTAAAAATTAACAACACGCTCAAAGTAATGTATCGTCTAGATTTATTTAAAACATTGGTTCCGATTGGTTGGGAAATGTTTGCAAGGAATCAAAAATGGGATTGCGCACCAAACATTTTGTCTCTGGTCCGTCATCTTGAATGTATTAATTGTTTATTAGATATTCCTACGGCTAGATAATAGATGGTTTTAAAAGTAATCAAAAGCAAAGAAATGATTACAGACCTAAGTAAAATAATTTATTTAAATAAAACACTTTAACGGTTTAAAACGCGATATATTAGTTAAACTTATTTGGAAATGATTTTTAACTTCGTGGTCACGGCGAGACTCCCCGTGACCACGGCTGCTGCAAAGCATCCGAAACGTCGGGCCGAAGTTAAAAATCATTTCCAAATAAGTTTAACTAATATATCGCGTTTTAAACCGTTAAAGTGTTGTATTTAAATGTGTACTACTCGCGTAAACTATAGACAGTATTTAAAATAATTTATGATAGAATACAAAAGAAGGCTTCTTTAGATTAAATTCAATGACAAAAGGCATCAATTAATTGAGTGGCCAGAAAAATAGACATTTTATAGTTAAGTAAATATTGCAACATGAAAAATTTATAAAAGTCTAAAATATATACGATTCCGCAACGAAAAAACCTATTTATGAAGCGAAAGCAAACAAAGGCACACGCCTTAATACATAAGTAAGTAAATTTAGAGCCTCCCTCTCGAAATATATTCGTAGGAATAACTGGCAACCCCTCGCAGGCGTTGCCATGGCAACCGACGGGGTTCCCACCCCAAACGTGAGCGAGTGGGGGTAAACGTCGAAGGCTTCGAATGAAAATTTCATGTTTGCGGGAACTTTTGGAATATTTTGAAATATGGTAGTACACAGATATAATAATTTATACTAACTTGTATTTTTAACGTCTTATATATATATTTTTTTTATGACAGAGGAGGACAGAGAAGCTTGGAGCTCACTTGATGGGAGGTGATCCCCAGCTATATAACATCTTGCAGATGCGCTGTCATCCTATTTAGAACAACCGAAACGCGATTGAATACCACGGCTCTTCCTACCAGCCATATCTAGATTTCCATATTAGATAGAACATTATATATTACATAGAACAACATATTTGAGAAAAATTATAAATTGATTAGAAACGTTAGACATGGTGGGGGTCGAACCAACCTCCCATTGATTATCAGCCATACTACCAATAGACCAAGGAGCTCGTCAATATAAAAAGTAACTGTAATGCCTATGGAAGTCACATTATAATATATTGACTGTTTATCATATTATCCGCACTTTTGGGAGCTTAAAGAAAGCTAAGTAGGTAAAATTCTACTTTTTTGTTGTGCTTTTAAATGCTTAAAGACGGTGTCTACCGGTGCGTTAAGCGCGGAAAATTTTTCGGTCTGTCTGGACACTGAAGTTTGATCAGCTACTTGATCACATAATAATTTCTAGAATATTCTTGCTCTCTGGTAAAATCGCATCGTTTGGAAACCGACATTACGAGACATAATATTATTATTGACGTGTAACATCTATAAATGCGTATTACAAGCGTAGTAGATAAAGATTTATACCCACAGTAGGCCTCTCCATGCCTATAGTATTTCCTTATATAACTAATTACATTATATAACCTCAACTGATATGTTAAGGGTTTAAAAAAGACAAAAATTGTTAATATACTACTTTTCTAAGATATAAGCAAAAATGACGTATTGTAAATAATAACGAATTTTCACTTTTCAGTTGTCCCCTTTTCCGCAGCGAGCGTGAGTTTTCCAGTATTATAAATGGGTGCGTTGGTAAGTAAAATAAAAAATTTTTACGTTTCCATTTTTCATTTGCACAGAACACTTTAACGAAAAATAGGACTACATTTTCCGCTTTCACGATTTTTAAGTTCATTGTTTTAAACTCGGCGAAATGCTCTGGATATTTTCGTATTCGTTAATTGAAAGCTAGTAAAAAGGGAAAGATTTAACAATGATGATGTAAATTTTAAAACAATTTTCTTTTAGTTTCGCTATAATTACAAATAGAACGCGTTTGAACCTGTATCAACAAGTATGATATGAGGCCGCTAGAGGCAGAGTAGCCTAACTGCTATTTTACGACTAGAGTTTGATATTTTCACAGTCTAAAAATGGTCATGTACAAGAGCACAGTGACCAAAAATTGTTGACATAATTCTTATACAAATAATAGTACAAATTCACTTTCGCCTACGTTAATTGCGCACATATGTTTTCTAATTGTAAATCATATTTTTTGTTATTAGGCTCATATTTTCTTAACATTACAAATGTAAATACTGACTATAGTTTACGCGAGTAGTACACATTCAAATATAACACTTTAACAGTTTAAAACGCGATATATTAGTTAAACGAAATATCGGACTGAAGTTAAAAATTTCAAATAAGTATAACTAATATATCGCGTTTTAAACCGTTCCAGTGTTTTATTTAAATTATAAATGTATCTAATTCAAGCAAATATTGATTACGCAACCACAAAGTTAAAATATGACCCATACGTAAATGCAATTTAGATTCGCTGAGTGTTGAGAAATATATTTTATTTTTATGTAAACGTCGAGTTGATATGGAGCTAATTTGGCTGTAAGTATAACTAAAATCTTTATTTATACGTAAATTTTATAGTTTTGTATTTTCGGCGAATTGATTTAAAAATTAAAACATCGTGTACATCGTACAAAATGAATGTAACAATGTAACAACCTGACAATATAAATAGTGATTCTATCGCGACATTTATCTGTTTAAATGTCCAAATAAGTTTGCAGGTCAAGTTTAAATTTTATTAGTACTAAGCTAAGCTTTCTATTAATTCCAATCTAGTTTTATTTACATAAGGAACTGTCTCGAGAAAATATAAATGTTTAATTAGTTATTTTACTAGTTTACACCCCACGAAACCGGGATCATTTGGATCCAAGAACAAGCTTTTGTCTAACTGACACAATCATTTGTCTGTAAATTTATTTTACTTATTTATTGTTAATTTTAGTTTTACATCTAAATTCTGAACACGTATAGATTTTCAGGAATTTCGAGCTTACAAAGTTAGCGTTTGTCTGTATGTTGGTCTGCGATAAAATTCGACCAAAACTGAACGTATACGCTCCATATCTTTTACACTCGACACTATAGGCGTCATATTTCAAATTAGCTACCCGTCTCTGTCTCACGGAACATCTTCAAACACTTAAAAACGAGACAACATTATTCCATCATTCTCATCCGATAATCATATGCATGAGACCCTCCACTTCGTTCTATCGCCGTTTTCGCTGTGGACAAGAGCGAGATGGATATACATTTGTTAGGGTATGTAGTGACCAGCGTTTCTTGATCTGTGAATAGGGAAATTCGTTCTGATTTTTCTAGCGGATCGTAGGGGACGCTCGGGTCGAACAAAACTGGTTTGTGCGCGGTATAATTTTTCATGATAATCGTTTGAATATTATTTACGTTCAGTTGACAGGGTATTCTTGTAATGATTTTATAATGGCGTCGCTGTGTGATTTATTAATTTGAATCTATGATGATTTCTTATGAGGCTTTTTAATGTTCCTTATGTTTTACTATAACGTTTCTACCTACCTCTTTTAGATAAGATTAATTATTATGTAGCCTATTCGTTTCCTGGTTTTAAACAATGGGTCGAAATGTATTAGATTAGAAATTATTTATAATTTATTGTCACTACGGTCCGTAATTTTATATATTTTACGGCAGTCGTGATCATGGAGAGTCAAATGATATTGAGCGTTAATACGATAAATGTGTTTCATTCATATAGTAAACATTCGCGTTCACTTCAGGCAATAATATGAATTAATTAACTTATTAGCTTGTGCTTTATTTCCCCACCTGGTGCAAGCACATTTCTGTGTCTATTTCGGTGATCGATTATATTACCTAGTACCCACATTTATAACACATTTCTGTACCCTCTTTCAACAAATTAACTTATATTTCCCTAGATTCGAACTCTGAACCTCACCCTTAAGACAATTCTAAGCAATACCATAACCATTAAGTCACTCAGAGTATAATTATTGCAGTAAAGGAAAGTACTCCTATTTATTTTAATATATTTTCCCACAAATTACTATATAAAGTTACCTACCTACAAGTAAAATCATGTGCAACTTAGGTGTTGAGCTTTTCGATCGTCAACCAGTCTTAGTCGAAGAACATGTCATATTGTTGAATTGGCACAATAGCACGAAAACCCAAGTAACTTTGCAAAATGGCTGCAATAGGTTTATACAATTCAAATTTCAAACAATTTTAAATAAAACACATTTACCTACTAATTTAAAGCTCGATATATGATATTAGTTCATACAATTTTGTTCGTAACTGTTATTACAGGATAGTTTTTAAGACTTAAGAATAAACTTGGCGAACTAACATTTATTTAAAATTAAATATGTTGTCTTTCTTAAAAATGTTAAAATTGTTTTTAAATTTTATGAGTCCCAATGTGCATTAATATGTCAATACTAATATCATAAAGCTGAAGGGTTTGTTTGTTTGAACGCGCTAATTTCAGGAACTACTGGTTCCAATTGAAAAATTCTTTGTCTTGGTTAGAAAATTTATAGAGGAAGGCTATAAAACATCGCGATGCGATTAATATAAACTAATGTTCAAGATGGTAACATCAATAAATTATAAAGATGAGGAGGTTTGCAAAATCAAGTTTTGATGACCAAAGTCTAACTATATCCTTCACAGCTAGTGTATTAATAAAAAACATTCTTCAGCAGCTATTAGCTTCAGCGTTGATAATACTAGTAAGATTAAGTGAATATCTCTAAAACGAAAATAGATATAGAAGTGAAATAAAATAAAGTGGCCTCAATTCAGCGTCTAGCCCCCGCGGTGGTTCACGAGCGACTGAGCGCGGACAATGCGTCTGATTCGCAACTACCCTCGCGTTTCAGAACAATAATAAGTAAATTGTTGGACGGGTCAATTTTTCGATTCAAACCTGTGGAAAACGCGCTTGTTAGCTCCTTTGTGCTCTCTTATTTTGTTGCATATTTTATTGGGGGCTACTTTTTGAGAACGACTCGGTGGAACAAAGTGGCTGGAATTCGAATATATGTTGCCATATTGAACTCAAGCTGGAATAAATCATTACATTATGTATTTCTTAAAAATTCTAATTTAAACAAAAAAGTATTTTTTATACACATAAAAGTTATTTGTATTTTCGGCTCCCACGAACTACATTTCATTTGAAGCATGTACCTTTCATATGTAAGCAATGATGTACAATTTACTTAAAAGACAGGCTTTTACAAGAAATAAATGTCCACTGAAACTTATTAAGTGCCTCAAAATTATGTCAAAAAAAGAGTTCAAGACTCTCTTTCCTACAACACAATATGACTGACTAAAGAATCGTTGTTTGTATTAATCGATTTAATCATCGATTTTGATTGACATCGATCATTATATACACCGCAATGGAAATAGATAATCCACGCTTACCCAAAACCCCCATTTACCTACCCCGGAAAGGCAAATGACTGTATTTTTGAAACCGCATCGCGACAGCCGTGTGGCGCCTGCGCATGTTCCTTTTACAAAATTTGAATTTCGAATTAGAGCTTAATGCCGCTCCGGGCCGCCATTAAAAACATATCATAGACGAATGTCTATGTTTTCGATAATTTGTTGGAAAAGGTTTAATGTTCCTTGATTTTATTATAATGAGATCTTTTTATTTTGTCTAGATTATAATGAGTATGTATCCCTATTTGGTTTAAATTTTGTTTTTATTTAGTACTTCAAAGCGAATAAAAGACGCCAATGACACTTAAAATCTGAAATATTATTTGTATGTATTGCCTAACGTAAAGTTAGGAAAAAAAATTGACTCGGGCAGAACTTGAACCGGCATCGTCAGTGTTCAATGCTGTTGCTCTAGCCAATTGAGCTACCGAGGCAGTGTAGTTGAGTTTATCTTAATTAAAACGCTGTTTAGTCCATTTACATACTAGAGAAAAATTAAAACTGTGTTATCACCAATCTCAGGGCACTGAAGACTGATCATCTATTGCTCGTGAATGATGTCCTTTAGCTATTAAACCACACGTGTTGTACAAAGGTCAATTATACGCGAGACAAGACGGATTTTGGGTATTTGGTAAGAGTCATTGGTATAACATAGCACTGTATCGCACATCAACGGGTCAGGGTTCGTTTCCCCTCGAATTTTTGTATTTTTTTTTGGAAACATCTTGACATCAATGCCTGGATGTTTGGATCTTGAATGGGTGGTAAAAATATCGAAATTTTCGCCAAGTCACAAACCACCGTCCACAGATGAAACTTTTATCTTGTGGCTCTCCGTATGTACAAAGCCAAAGGTGGACAGCAGTTCTTGAAATGTTAAATGGCTAGAGCATTTCACCTTCCATCCCTACTTGTCCTTCTCTATCTATAAAAAGACGTGGTCGCTTCGATCAATTTAAAATCACCATCGTACCTGCACTGTTACTTTTTCACCCGGACATCGAATCCCCCTTAAGCACTAACCACTAAACCACTTTAGCACGTAAAGCGAACACAGAACCGTCATATCCGAAGGGCCAAGTTATACTATTCAGAGAGGGCAATTACATGAAATTGTATTCAGCAATTTGCGGTAAATGATATGATTATGTTTATTTAGTAATCGCGCGGTAGATTCAATCGGAGCTTGGATCAGCCCAGAGATAGTTTAACGCGATTTCATCTTCTGCTTAGTTTTTAAACGTATGTACGTACGATAGAAAATCTATATAATTTCGTTAAGGAGTGTTTTTCTAACCAACCTACACCTAAAATAATTGTATATTAGGTTTAACTAATATATATCGCGTTTTAAACCGTTGAAGTGTTTTATTTAAATGCGTACTACTCGCGTAAACTACAGACAGTATTTAGATATCCACTGACTGAAACTTAAACACGAGTTCTATGACTTCTTTATCTGTAGTTTCGAATTTACTTATCTGGATTTTTAGATAGGAACCATGCTTAGAAAGACCTAGAAATGATATTATAATGGTCAGGTGGGAATCGAACCCAGGCCCTATTGTAGCCTTTGGACCAACGAGTTCACGTATGTCTTACGTATATGTTAGGTACCTATATACCTATATATTTTGTATCCTTCGATATCCTTAATATAAATTCCTTCCCAGACCTTCTCGGGAAACGGCTAATTTGCCGGACAGATGGCTGTCATTAACTCATCCGAATTTAGTCGAAACCTAGCTTAAGCCGACCGGCGTATTAACATAATGATAATTCGGCACAGAGTAGTTAGTCTATAGATACAGTACTCGGTTGATCGCTGCGTGCAAAAGCCTTAGGTCCTTTGTAAAACGCATTGCCTTCTAAAGTTCCTAGTTTAGCGTGGTTTGAATAACGGGAATTGTGACTCTAATGTTTACGGATAGGACACAGAAGATACAAGCCCGAAAACCAAGAAACTTTAAATTGGCTATGAAAGCACACGATGTACACAGATAGACTCAAGCTTTGCCTTATGGTAAAGGTCCTAAGTTCAAATCCCAAAACACAAATATGGTAATTATTTTAAATTCATTACTTTTTATTGTCTTTTAAACACATACTTAAATAAAGTATAAAATTTAAAACTACTAAAATAAATAGTAGATAAGGATGGCAATTGGTACCAGTCTCAACTATGCTGCTGAATGCTTGTCACACTCAGCAGCACTGGTTTTCAGACTGGCGCGGGTTTCGAAGGAGAACAGTGAAGTTTATAAGATGAAATTATATAATTAAGTCTAAAATTAGCGACTATTACTCTAGTATTCATTTAAGTATGTTTTCTTCGTGTGTTTTAAAACTCTTTCTCTGAATCAATATTACTCTACACTCATCTCAGTTCTGTCAAAGTACCTCATGTTAGTATTATGTTTTAAAATAATTACAAGCTAAACATATTGCATACAGAATTATGAATATTAGCCCCATCTCGTTCAATATAATCAGGTTTTAATAAACTTTATGGGTCTTATTAAGTCTATTTTCGGAGGTATGTGCTCCAATGTTCATGCTAAAATATATTTTTTACAATAGAGGACAGAGTAGCATGGGATTACCTTGATGGGAGGCGAAATGCCAGAACCATATAACATTCTGAACAAAGATGCACTGTCAACCTTTTTCATCTGTGGACCGTGGTTCGTGACCGGGACGTTATTTCAGACTTTCAGACGAAGTTCGACATGTTCAACACAAATAATGAATTGATTAGATAAATGTTGGACCCGGTAAGCGTCGAACCCACGACCCGTTATTTTAGCCACTTTACAACGAGCTCGCCATAAGCACGATAAACTCGTTATTAACTGGCTTCGTCTTCAGACTTCAAATGTCAAACTAGGTATTTTGCTGCCGTGACAACTGTC